AGAGGCTGTAGCACTGCCCTGTACCCTACCCGCAGGGTGCGGATAAGCTCCATACCCCCAGTCCATGCGTACTGCTCCACCCAAAATCTGTCATAAGCATAACGGGGAGGTATACTCCTGGCGTTAACCCATTGAAGCCAGTGGGTCTGGTCCTCCACTCACCACCTTTTTACACCAGCATAACTCCCTTCAATAGAGTGACTCCTGATTCACGCAAGGGTAGAAGAGAGATTTGTATTCATCACAATCCCCCTGCCCCGACCCGCTGGAGGACTGAAAATCATGTGTCAGGACACGTTTTCCAAACAATATAATATTCAGTCATGGTTTATTTCCCCTGGAGCAGCGTGGCATTGAGACAGTGTTACCGGGTGAGTCATGGGTGTCCTGGCACCTCCTGTCACACTGTCTCCCTCGGTCCAGGAAGTCTCGGAGCGGTCACAGATCAATTACGTTTTAACAAAATAATGCGTTGTCCCACCGTCTTTTACTAACCTTGACAAGATTCTGCTCTAGCTGCCTCTGGCAGGGATTTACCCAGGAGCATCGCCAGTTTCTGGAAATGGCCGAAGCACATTTCTCAACCCATCGCTGCAATGTTTTCTCCGGGTGTCTGATTTGATTTGAAAAGCAAATTCCTGGCCATTCCTACAGCACCTGTCCATAGATCCCGCTGGATCAGGCAGAGGCACCCATTCCCCACTTCCACCCATCTGGAGCAGAAAAAGATCGACTTGTGGGTAATTAACTGCATCCTGAGGGTTAGAAAGAAGCCGCTGAGGAGAGCTGCAGACCGTGTAGTGACTCAAGTGGAACTCACCCATATTGTTGGCACTATTCTTTCTCTTTTCTTTCTCTTGTTTTGGTGGGGGAGGCAGTATTCTAAGGGAGATATAGACCCCCATACTGAGCGAATGACTTCACTAGGCCCTTGACTTTGATATTGCTGACCAAGCCCCAGATCCTCAGCTGGTGAAAATCAGCATAACGCCTTGGACGTCCATGGATCTACACTGATTTATGCCTGGTGAGGATCTGTCTCCTGTTGTTTATCTGTTGAGGAGAGGAAATATTTGACAGGTTTTGGAAGACGATCTTCCAGCATGTGGAGTGAAATCCAGGCTCAGTTAAAGTCAAAGGCAAAATTACCATTGACTTCAACAGGGTCAGGATTTCACCTGTGGACTCTGAAAGACACGACTGTGCACAACATTACCTCCACCTTCCTGCAATCTGTTCTCAGTGGGCTGAGATTCAAATGAGGTTTATTAAAGACACGTAGGGGCCAGAAGGCGAAGTCTTTTCAAAGTGACCTGAGCCGTTCCCAGTTTATTTTGGAGCTTGCATACACGGTGATGGTTCACTAATGTCACCGCCTGGCTGAATAGGAAATAGAGCTGGTCAGTCGGTTCGTTCCCTTGCCATGCATGTGGGGAAGGATAGTTTCATGCCATCCAGAGCTTTGAGAAACTGAGGGTCTGGCCTTGCTGATGACCCGTCTAATTTCTGTATTGATTATTCAGTTAGGTAGTTTTAAATAGCAATGAACAACTGCCACGCAAGGTGCCCTAGCAATTAATTAGCCAAATGACAACCACCCAGCAGCAACAAAGAACCCAATAATGAGTTAACTCCGCCAGCTAATAAATCAACGCAGGAAACAGCCTCTGTAACTCCCACACCTAGGAACAGCCCCTATCCCTTCCCCCACCACCCTGTCAAATTAATGGCTTTTGAGAGTTAATATTCATCATTTATTTTATAATAGTTCCTCATCTACTCCATAGGCGCAGTATTCAGTGCACTGAGTCTCTGAGATCGTATTTAAGTAAAACCTAAGGCCAGATCCTCAGGAGGAGTGAGTCCGCTTGGTTCCCCAGAAGTCAGCTCACTGGGAGGGAAGACTGGTCCTGTGTTTAAGGAACTGGTCTGGGACACAGGAGATCTGCGTCAATCACTCGGTTTCTGGCTCTGCGACAGACATCCCTGTGTGTGCTGCAGTTCTCCAGCTGTACAAACGGAGATCAGAATCCTTCCTCCAACCCCACGCCCCGCCCCGCCCCGCTCTGTCTTGTCTATTAGTTGTAAGCTCTCTAGGGGCAGGAATTGTTTGTACAGCACCTAGCACCATGCGGGTCCGATCTCAGTGGGGACATCTAGGCACAACCATACCCCAAGCATTAAGGATAGCTTAGTGGTTTGAGCATTGGCCTCCTAAACCCAGAGTTGTGAGTTCAATCCTTGAGGGGGCCACTTAGGGATTTGGGGCAAAAATCTGTCTGGGGATTGGTTCCCCTTTGAGCAGGGGGTTGGACTGGATGACCTCCTGAGGTCCCTTCTACCCTGATATTCTATGAAGTGATCATTCTCCTTTCAGCCTGAGAACAGCCCATCTTTTCTTTGAGACACTTGTTTTCATTTTCCCATGAGTCACTCTGAAATTACAAGACCCGAACAGCTCAGGGTCACAACATTAAGCTACAAAATTGCTGCATAAGGAACATGGCCTACTAGGTGCCTGCTTAGGACTATGGATAGAAGAAGTAAGAAAAATAACCAATAGTGCTGATAACATACTGGATGAGTTGTCATCAGATTTCATTGTCTCAGGGTATCAAGTAGAGGAATTTCAGCTTCGCCAGTAATATTGGGTGAATTTGCAAACCATGAAATGCATTGTCCGAAGGAGCCGCTCCAGATAAGTATCACCTAGCAACCAGCTGCATTGGCACAGTAACCTTCAGGGAGCCGTGGAGAAATACAAAGGCTTTTTGTTAGCCCCGAAAACTTAAGAGCACAGGTTGAAATTGTTTACTAATTTAGATGCCAAAATGAATCGTAGCTCAAGTAACTCCTAGGAAAGCAGGTTTGCTGTGAAACTCCATGGCCCCCTTTGGCTCCACTGAAGTTCTTTACTCTCAGAAAGACTCATCCATCGCCGTACAGAGCCTGTACACCCCTACACGTGTACAGTAGAGAGTAAACAGGCTGCACAGCAGAGAGGAGGCTGAGTGTGGGAGCCGTACGCATGGGCATGGGAGGCTGGGAGAGTGTATCAGACACAGAGCAGCATTTCATTTCTTCTATTTTTACCAGTTATCTAATGTTATCTGAGGCTGAGCTGATACAGGCTTCCTCATGGGCCCACATCTGTCCTAGCAACAAGGCACTTGGGAGCTGAAGGCAAGTTTAAATCCCGCTCTTTTCCCCTTAATATGGCCCCCGTGAGCTTGCTGATCCAGAGCTGACCAAAAGCCACTGGCTGGTTCAAGAGCAATATGGAGAGAGCAGCTGCACCCATCCCTTCTTGGACAGAAAGCTAGTCGTGTGAATTAGGAGCTTGAGTGTGGCCAGGATAATGGGACTGAGAGGAGAATCCAAGAGAAACTTGAAGGCCCATTCTGAGGGCGAAGAATTCCATTTGGGCTGTGACTCTGTATGCAGTTTAAACAGAGAGCCGGAGATTTCTGTAAATAACCCTGAGCAAAGTGCTGCTGTATCATGGAGGTGACTAGCCTGAGGACAGTGACCCTGTATTAATAACCTGATACTTGATGTTAGATCCACGTATTGCAAGTATTTTAATAGGAAAGGCGTGTTGCCGGATGGTTAGCACAATACACCAAGGGCCAGGAGGACTCCGGGGTTGGAGCTGACTTGCTGTGGAACTTTGGGACAGGGACTTTTGGGACAGGGACAGGAACTTTGGGTGTGTACCACTTTACGGGTTGTCACCAAGTGGTGTTGCCGCTTCAGAGGAAATAATACGGCCCTATCAGTGTAGCAGGCCGGCTGCTTTTTAGGTCATTGTTCTCATACAAGCTTATTCATATCTGCCTTTATTTGCGGTCATTATCTTGAGGAAGTAAGAGCCCCCGGGGCACATTTGCCTTGTCAGGAAAATGAACCATCCTGGGGCATCTTTGCAACGACACAGAAAATTTAATATTTCCTCTTATTTGTTCCACTTCTCGGCAAATGAAACTATGAAGGTTATAAATGTCAAAGGAATTGTAACAGAACAGTAATACCTGGCTGGACAGACAGACATCTATGGATCGTAGTAGGTCTGTGACATCCCAACTCTCAGCTTTCATTCTAGAACTTCTTGCTTGTGCTGAAAGTTAGCATGGCTCTGATCCATTTAAGGTTCGCCAGTTTTCCTGAGGTTCTTCTGGAACTGTCCGTTTGAATGTATCTGTATGTCTTTGCTGCTGTGCAACAATTACTGTGGATGTGGAGTTCTGCTGAAGTGCCCGAGGTCAGAGAACCCAAGAGAGGTTTGCTTTAATTGTGAATTGTGTAACTGTGCTGTTTAAATGGCGGGCACTCACTTTTCTGACGTGGCTTTGTTCGAGAGAGTGAGAGTCCTTCTGTCTACGTCAGAACAGCTCTTTTCAAATTTAGCACACACACACACACACACACACACACACACATGTATATAGGTACCATGTATAGGTATTGAAATACATACCAGGTAATTTCTCCACTACACCCAGTAATATTAAAGTCCAGCATTTCCCCCAAATCCTTGGCTTTCTGTTTGTAGCCTGCTTTACAGTTCGTGGTTGTGCCATGGGTAGCTTAGAAGAAAACTCATGCCCCTGCTCTCTGGGGCCCTACTGTCTTCAAAGTCTATTGACAAGTCCATTGGCAGACTCTTTCCACTGATGATGAATTCAGGGCCTAGGCCGGTGAAGCTAAGGCATATGGCAGAGGTGATGAATTGGACTCTAGGGCTAAAGGAGGTGATAGCTCATTGCTACATTATTCCTCCTCCTTCCTAATGCCTGGGTCGGCTGAGAAGACGGCCAAGTCCCTCTCCCTCTCTGCTGGGGGGAGCAGGCTGAGGTGAGAGAGTGTGAGGTGCAGACTGCGAGTGTGAGGGACTGGTGCTCGTCGCGTGGGTGAGGTGGCTCAGACTGAGGCGATGGAGACAGGCCCCCCGAGCACACAGAAAGGTCACCTCTCGCATTTCTCTCTCTTCTCTTTCACAGAAAGAATATTCTCTTCAGTCCACGTTTCCTAACGGAAGTGGGAAGCATGTTGTCAACGGCTCAGGTGAGTGTCTGGGGCGAGCCACACCGGGGTGGGAATGGCGCGTTCTGCTCAGCCAAGCAACGGAGTGCTTCGAACGGCAAACGGGGCAATGCCCATTGTTCTGCACAATCAGTGTTCCAGGGGCTACCCCTTGCTAGCAAACACTGCCAGGCTGGGGGGGCCAGGGGAGGGAGCTCAGAACATGGGTTCCAGCCAGCCACAATCCTGGTCCTCACTCAGGTAGGAGGAGTGTTACTGAAACACAGTATTTCATATAGGAACATCCGGCTGGTTCTGTGCAGCAGCAGAAGTGGGGGAGAGGGTGCAGGAAACCCTCTCCCCCGCAGAGGGACGTGCCACAACCTGGGTACCAGGCCACAGTCTAGCTGCACCAATGCCATTAGACTAGCATATTCCTAGCATATCCCAGGGCCCATGGTCTTGTTCCTCATCTGCACTAGCCAGTGCAGTTGAGCGGGTGAGGCGGGACGTGCGCATGATACCTTGTAAAAGGGTAGCAGAGCTCCCCAGAATCCCTGGAGGAATTCGGGTTGAGCCAGCCAGCCCATCCCTGAGAACCGCAGCTCCAGCATGGCCCCTCTGCTGCGGTCCCCTCCCGAGCAGGCTGCCGCCTTCCCCTGACTCTTCAGCTCCATAGTTAGTAAGTCAATATTACAGCCAGCAGGAAATCCACATGCAGCTTCCCACACTGCCAGGGTCACACAGGGCAGCCAGCAAAACGGGTAACTCTGCCCTGGCTCCCCTGTTTCTTTCCAGGTAGTAAAATCCCCCACAGCTGGCAGCTCTGCTGCGATTGAAACGCAGCGATCGCAGGGCACCAGAGAGGAGCTCGGACAGCTGGGTGGGTTGTCTTGCAGAGGGGCGCCTCCTCCCCCCCCCCCCCCACAGCCTGAACTTTCCCCCAAACCCCAAAAGGAACCGTTCTCGGGGCGGAAAGTTTCTCACCCCCCACATCCCTCTCACCGATACGTGTTTGTGTCCCCTGCTGAGACTAAATCCCACGAGATCGTGGAGCTCGGGGTATACTTGCCCCCCCCATCATGAACCTGCTGAAGAGGGTGAAGCCCTGTGGGGGATGCGGGGATGCCCCCTAAGAACCCAGAGATGCAGGCACCACTGGAGGTTCCTTGCTGCTAAGCAGTTTGTCCAAACCTTCTCCTTCCCTCCCCCTCACAGTCCCCCCCATGGCAGCCTCAGTCCCCGTCCCCTCCATGCTTGTCATGCTACTCTCCCCTTCCTCCCTTCCCTTCCCCCTCCATGATCCTGTTCTTTACCCCCATGCTCCTGTGAACTCATCCCCTCGTGCCCTTCCCCCGCCCCCTCTCTGTTAACAGGCTGCATGCCTGGTATGGCCCTGATCCTTTTGTCTGTGTGATGCACTGACGTGGCACATGTGAACATGCGTGTCTGGGCTAAGCGACCACGCAGCCTCCTATTTTCTCCCAGTCCAGAGAGTTTTTATTTACTGCAAGTTGTGGTTTAGGGGCCAACGGTCCCGGGTTCGATCCCTGCTCATAATCATGGTGTCGGTACCTTTATGTTGCTGCGGTTTGTGACACCTGTACCTTTTTGTCTTGTAGACTGTAAGCTCGCAGGGGCAGGGACTGCCTCTTCCTATGGGCTCGCCCAGGATCTAGCACGTTCTGGGCCCCACCAGAATAGGAGCAATAATCACTCGAACAGTAACACTGCTGCCCCAGATTCACGTTGCGGTGGATTATCCCGGGCGGTGGGGAGTGTGGGCCCATCTCTGGACCGTCTGGTTGTCACTGTCTGCGTGTGCAATGCAGCTTTCAGAGCAGCAATCGCTGCTGGAACCTGGGCCGTGATTCTGTGGGTTGCTGTGAGTGTTCTTGCTTCAATGGTTGTTCGATCATTGGTCACACGTGAAGCTGTTTTCCTCCCCTGAAAAGCATCAGCTCATCCTGAGCATGGAGCTAGCACTTGCTTTAGGAAGAATGTCCCCACGCTGAGCAATTAACTGCAAATAAGCCATTTCTGAGTGGAGCTGCCAAACTCCTGCAGAGGAGTTAATAATGCTCCCCTAAGGTGTGGGCGGCTCCCCTCGAGTCGCACAATAGTAATGTAATATCACAGGAGCCCAGCGGAATGGTTTTGTTAGTGCAGAATGTGCTTGTCAGCAGGGGAGGGCAGCAGCTATCCAGCAAGCTCAGATCACGTGACTTTATTCTCACTCCCTCTGAAAAGATCTTACAGAAGTGAGAGAGCTTAGCAGTACAGAGCCAAAAAGTCATGCACACTTAGACCTGCACTGCACTGAGAAGACGCTAACTCAGACTACACAATACTGAGAAGCTCAGAGACCTGGCTCTCATGTCTCAGAGGGTGGAGGACCAGGTGAGGGTACCACCTGGAGCTACTGGACTCTACAGAGCAATGCTGGTCAAATCAGGTAAGCACAGGTGTCTCTGGCAAAAGTCTCCCAGGCAGAACCAGACATTTGATTAACTTGAAATTTCCATTCGACCTTCTGCCTGCGCTTCCCCTGCGTTGGCTTTGACTGCAGCAAAGGTGAAGTATTTTATGAACCCTCCTGGAGCTGTGCTGTCTCTGAGTTTCCCTAATAGGAATACTCTGCAGCACATCTGAGTTTATTTAAGGGACAATTTTACAGCTAGTTTTAAGTCATGTAACTCTTTTGAGATCTCTTTCCTTTAAACCTTCTATAGTTCACAGGCTTCTTCCGCCTCTCCGAACGGACCCATAGACCGCCGTGTATACCGTGACCAATCCTGTGCTGTCACTCAAATGTTCTGTTTGGAAGGGAATTATGCTGGAAGAATACGTGCTAATGAAATCCCTGCTGTTTAACTTTGGAGATTTTTCTCTGTGTTCTTTTAAATATCTTTGGGCTACCTACAAACATTTTCTGGTGATTGGGACAATGGGATCTTTTTATTATGAGTATGCCAAAAGCAGAGAGCAAATATGCGATGATATATTAGTAGTGAATGTAGGATTTCTAGGCATCTGTCACTTCTTAACAAAAATAACTAAGCTGGTTGCATTGGCAGTAATTAGCAATACGTACATTAGAGAGAGAATTCTTCTATGCCCATGAAAAATTTCAATAGTAATGACCCAAAACCCTGCCGTCACATTATGGTTTTGACCACTCCCATGGAATACCAGGGCATGTTTTTATAAGTGTCGAGTGCTTGGCATTTCTGAAAGGCATTTCACTGAGACAGCTTGTTAATTGTTAATCGAGGCAGGACTCCAAGGACTGTCATGTGTATTTAACTGTCACAATCGGAGACATTTTAAACTCAATTGTTAACTAATTTACCAGATTTCACCTGCTGCCACCACAGCAGGGCTTTGGCTGCCGGGATAACTTTTTAAGCAGTTTCAAGCTTAGCTGAAACACAGTCAAATTTGCATGAATTGTAAACACCTTATAACTCAGTTTGTTGAAAAATAAGCCAGTGTTTGTTTCACTTGGAAGATTTGGTGATTCCCTGTTCTGTTCATTCCCTCTGGGGCACCTGGCATTGGCCACTGTCGGCAGACAGGATACTGGGCTAGCTGGACCTTTGGTCTGACCCAGTACGGCCATTCTTATGTTCTTGAGAAATTAGCTAGTGAGCAGGATTGGAGCAGTCCCAGGTGTCACGTCCAACCCTTTTGGATTTGAACGCCTTGTGAAGGTATCACTACTGACAGCTCATGTTCTCAGCAGACAATGCTAGCATCTGGTTCTCAGTAGGCACTGGACCACGCTAAGTTACACCGGTGTAAATCTAGAGGGACTCCATTACTTTTGAGTTTCTTTTAACTTAATTTGCAACAGTGTAGGTGACAGCAGAATTTGTCCCCCTATTTTCAAGAATGGCACTAAGAGTTGTGCTGGGTGGGTACATGGGACTATTAGTGAGAACCAGCACCTAGATGCCATGAAACAGTGTGTTACTCCTTGCACAGCTGTTTGGGGACGTAGCAGGGTGAGTCTCTTTCTCAGTAACACTGGTGTAAATCCAGAGTAATGCCACCGACTATTTACAGATCAGAAATGGCAGGCTGTGGGAGGGGCTGTGGAGTCTTTGCCTTTCACCACAGGTTGCTGGATCAATCTAGCTTAGATCAGTGGTAACCCAAAGATGTTACCAACTGAGAGCTGTTGACCTACATGGAAGTAAAGGGTGTGGTCTGCTCCCCATGGAGGGGCACCCACCTCCCAAAGCTGACAATCCCGGGGACCCTCCGGAAAGCTCACACCACTGCTGGCTGTGCTGCACTTGCTCTGTGGATGAACAGAGATCTCCATTCCCCAGGGCTGTCGGCCTGGAACCCTTCACCAGCACGAAATTCATAGAACAATCTATCAGGTTAGAGCAATTTGACAGAGCGCAGAACAAACTATGTTGTAGGGAACAGGCCTGCACTGGCACTAGGGAAGGACTAGGCAACCCAGCCATCTTTTCAGTCTCTAATTTATGAATACATCTCCATGGGGCCACCATGTCAGAGCTAATAAGTAAGACAGGGAAGCCACCAGCCCTGTGATGAGCAGGACACTCTGAAATGTTCCTTGTATGTTCTTTATCCCTGAACCCGGCTTCAGGAACACTTTTAAAAATCCAGGTGACAATAGGTACTGTGGCCACTGTATAAAAACGTGAGCAGACACTGCTGTCAAGGTTTCTTTGCTTTCCCCCAGAAACAGTTTGTACCACAAAAGGCCATTTTCTTCCACCCTTATTCATGGTGAGAAGTACCTTATTCTGCGAGCAGTCCCTAGAGAGATTGCCTTTGCTATGAGATGAGCTTAATAAATTAGTGGAGAACAGTTTCTTTCCACACCCAGAGTGACATATAGCACAGAGATTCACGCACTGCACCTGGTCTGAAATCACATGGATCTTAACTGTAAAATAAATTTAAAAAACTTTCCTTCCCATAAAAACAACTTATTGCATTTGTAATGCCATTCATGTTTTCTTTCTCTTCCCGACATTGTGCCCTTTGTTCTTTGTTTT